AGGAAGAGCAACGGAAAATGGAAGAAGAGAAAGAAAAGAAAAAGGAGAACGACATGGTATTTAAAGCATGGTTACAAAAGAAACGAGAGCAGGTCCTTGAAATGAAGAGAATTCAGCGAGCAAAGCAAATTGAAGATAGCAGTAGAGTAAGTACAACTTCTCTAGGAAAAATAAGTGCATGAAGATATAAAAGCTGAACCTATGTACAGAAGGATGTCTGAATATCAGAATAAGAGTCTATGGACGAAGTAGAAAAGTGGTCTAGGAACGACTCCTGGAAAAGATGTAGTATGCAGATGACTTTACAGTTGGGTTCTGAGAGGTCTTATGACAATCATATGACTCCTATTTTGTCCTTTTGTGGTGAGGACATTTAATATCTTTTCTTCTGCTTATTTTGAAATATCCGTTATTGTTAACTATAGTCACCCTACTATGCGATGGAACATTAGAACTTATTCCTCTTTCTAACTGTAACTTTGTACTTGGACTCTTTTGATCTGTAATTCCAGATTGAACATTTTTCTGTCATCTGTAGCCATTCCCAGACTTCCAGGTATTCAGCAGTCATCCTCCAGATTAAGGATTCCTCTCCAGAAAGTTCAGTTGTGCAACAAATATTCTGAATTACATAAATCTAATGAGACTGGAGCCTACTTGGCAATGTGGGTTACAGACATGGAAAACTGCAAGATACAGGAAACAGTCTTCTTTATCACAGAGCTTATATTTGGGGAAAATATCAAATCAGCTTATTCTTTTGTGTTCTAGCCAAGCAACGGCATAATGTTACACTTTTCCAGTTAGGATCCCAAATTGGTCCTCTTTTTCTTCTTAATTACCCCCCAAATAATAGCTCTTTCACTTTTGAGAATTCCGTGAATGTCAACCATGAAGTTTGAGGGACCACGAAATAAGCTATTCCTACTTAGCTCATGGCTGTTATGAGAAAGTTCTTATGTTTGAAAATCCTTATGGCTATTCTCCATAATAGCAATTGCAATTTTGAAGATGTGCTTAGCAGTTGATTCTGCTAGAGGTTTTTTTAAAACTTAAAAAAAGTTATAATTTAAAAGGATGAATCAAATACTGGATCTTTTATTTACAAACTGTATTCTATAGAGCTGCTTTGGGAACTGCCACAAGATAAGCCCATTCATACTGCCTATCCCCAACCGTTTTTCAATCCTTTGTTTTATTTGTACCCATGTGCCATATGATTTGGTTTGACAAAGGGTTAAACTTTGAAAATTTTGAAAATCATTGCTTTTATGCTTCATTTATTGATTACTTCAATGAGACTTTTGAAAGAAACCATAGACAAGTAGCAATAAGCTTAAATGTTGAATTTTCTATCAGAGGTGTTGCTGATTTCAGGGTGTTGAGTTTGGTTTGGATACTAGGTAGTAGGGATGTGGGTAATGAGGTTGATGTTATTATGGAAAAATGAAGAGACAGATGTGTATTCTTGTGGAGTACAACAAAGGACCCCCAAATGTAGTTTTGGTTTATCAAAAGTAAGCAAAACTTGTTTTTCTAATCAGCAGGAAAATAGAGATCCACAACAAGCTTTTCGATTATGGCTTAAAAAAAAGCATGAAGAACAGATGAAAGAAAAAAAGACAGAAGAACTCAGAAAGCAGGAGGAATGCTTATTCTTTCTTAAAGGAACAGAAGGCCGTGAAAGGGCCTTTAAACAATGGCTAAGAAGGAAACGAATAGAAAAAATTGCAGAGCAACAAGTTGCCAAAGAGAGAGCTAGACAGCTTCGACTAGAAGCTAAGCGTTCTAAACACAACCACATATATGTGTCAGAAGCCAAGTCTTTTCGTTTTACTGACCATTACTAAAAGTATCAATTAAATACTTCTTTTGGCAGCTGATGTCATCAAAATTTTGGTTATCATTTCTTATGGCCTCTGTGCTTTGTTCTTTAAATTATGGAAAATGGTATTTATCTTTTGGTGATGTTAACAGTTAATTTTTTTTTTTAATGGTAGCACAAAATAAATTTCTTCTTTCACACTATTGTTGTGTGTTGTGTCATCTCAGTCTATAAAACAAATTTAATAACAAATGAATTCTATGTTTTACTTCTCAATTATTTTATGAACATTTTTAGCTGGATAGAACACAAGAAAGGTACAGATTTCTAGTCATAGTTCCTATTATTATTAAAAAACATTGCAACAAAACATTTAAGAAAGAAGGAGGGGTGACTTAAGCCTTCCCTGGCCCCTTGGCAAACACTGTGTGCTTTTCATCTCTATGGATTCCCTCTTTTGGATATTTCATATTAATGAAATCACTTGATATGTGATCATTTTTTTTTTCACTTGGCATGGTGTTTTGGAGGCTCATCCACATCATAGAATGTCTCAGTACTTCTTTTCTTTTTAGAGAATAATAGACATATGCATTCATCAGTTTCCAACTTTTGGTGAATAGTGCTGATGTGAACATTTGTGTACAAGTATTTGAATACCAGTTTTCAGTTTCTGTTGTATATACCTGGGAGTACAATTGCTAGGTAATATGGTATAATTCTATGGTAAGCTGAGAAATTGCCAAATTGGTTTCTATAGTGGTTATATCATTTTCCAATTTCACCAATAATGCATGAAGGTTCCAATTTCTCCACATCCTCACTAACACTTATTTTTCCTGTTATTTGTACTTGTCTTCATGTGTGTGAAACACATCAAATTGTAGTTTTGATTTGCCATTTCCCAAATAACTCATCTATGGGCTTGTGGATTGTGTATCTTCTTTAATGTCTGTGTTTTTTGACTATTTTTTGATTAGATTGTTCTTCAGTTTCTGATTTACAAGTTATCTTTATATTCTATACACTAGACCTTTACTGGATATATGATTTCAAATATTTTCTTACATTCTCTATGTTGTACGTCTACTTCTTGATAATGTCCTTTACACATGAAAGTTTTTAACTTTGATAAAGTGTAAGTTATTTTTCTTTTATTGCTCATTCTTTGGTGTCATAGGTAAGAAGCCATTGCCTAACTGAAAATCATGAACTTATCCCTAAGTAGTGTCAGCTCTTATATTTATGTTTTGATACATTTTGACTTAGTTTTTGTATATAGTATAATGCAGAATGAATAAGGAATACCTTTTCCCCCCTCTATACCATCACTCTGAACACTCATGCTGCACTTCTAATACCAGATATTTAGGTTGTTTTTCTCCACACCAAGCAACTTCCCAATTCTCTGAGGTCACTAACTGGTGTCTTACAATTCAGTTCAATTCTGACACTAACCAGAATTAGTACCCACTCCACAGGCTCAGTCCCCTCTTACCTTCCACTTTAGATACCAATCCAAAGTAGCAAGTCCTTATGTTACATTTAGCACAATCGATATCTAGAATGGCTCACAGAAATCAGGGAAATACATTACTTGTTTGTCTGATTTTGAAAGGATACGAGTCAGGAATAGCCAGATGGAAGAGGTGCACAGGGGCAAAGTATGGAGGAAGAGGCATGGAGCTTCCATGCTCTTCCTGGGCACCTCTGCATATTCAGCAACTTGGAAAGCCCTCTAAACCCTGTCTTTTGGGGTTTTGTTGTGGCAGGAAGTTTCTCATGAGGACTCGAAATGATAAAATCATTGGCTATCAGTGATCAACTAGACCATCAGGATTTTTTCCCTCCTTGGAGGTCAGGGCGGAGCTGAAAGATCCATTTGTCTGATTACCTGGTCAGATCCCCTCCCAAATAGCCCCCATCCTGAACCTCCAGCCATTAGTCATCTCACTAGCATACGAATAAACAGCTACCACTTGGAAAATTCCAAGGGTTTTAGGATCTGTGTGCCAGAAAACTGGTACAAGACCAAAATATGTATTTCTTACTGTATCACAATACCACATAGAGGCTCAACTTCATTCTTCTGCATGTGAACATCCACTTGTTTCAGCATCATTTGTTGAAGATGTTATTCTTCCACCATTGAGTAGGTTTGGCACCTTTGTTGAAAATCAATTGGCCATAGATGTATGGGCTTATTTCTCAAACCTCAATTTTATTCCATTGATCTATATGTCTGCTCTTATACCTCTTTAGATCACTATAGATCAGTTTTGAAACTGGGAAATGTGGGTTTTCTAATTTTTGTTTTTACTCAACATTCATTTGACTATTCAGGGCTTTTATAATTCCATATAAAATTAACAATCTGCTTTTGCATTTTTGCAAAAAGCCTGTTGGGGTTTGAATGGGGTTTGCAGTTAATTGCTTTGGGTAGTACCAAAATCTTAATAATAAAGTCTTCCAATACATGAACACAGGACATCTTTTACTTTGTAGTTTTCAATGTATAAGTTTTTTACTTCCTTGAGTAAATTTATTCATAAACATTTTATTCTTTTCAATGTTATTGTAAATGTAATTGTGTTCTTAATTTCCTTTTGGGGTTATACAGAAAGACAAATGATTTTTGTGCATTCATTTTGTACCCTCCAATTCTGGTGAACTTGTTTATTAGTGCTAACAGTTTTGTGTGTGTGTGTGTGTG